GACGAAACGAGATCGTGGGAGGAGCGAGAGATAAAGAGCGGAGACCTGCGAGAGAGTGAAAGAGACGAGAGACGAGAGAGAGTGAGAGAGAGACGCCGACGAGAGAGACAGAGACCGAGATTGATGGAGAGATGAGACGGAGAGAGAACGCGATGACGGGCCGCGAGAGGAGACCGGAGGAGATCGAGAGGAAGCGGAGAGAGCAAGGAGACGAGACGGGGGAGAGGCAGATGAGCGAGAGAGAGAGAGAGAGAGAGAGAAGGCAGGAGAAGAGAGAGAGACTCAAGATAGATAGGAGAGAGAGCGCGGAGAGTAAAGTAGAAGAGAGAGGAGGACGATGAGGAGCGGCGAGGGGGGAAGAGGAGAGAGAGAGAGAGATCATGAGGCAGGAGAGGGAGAAGAGGACCGCAGCGTGCTGTGGTGGGTGCTGCGGCGAAGCTGTTCATGTGTGCGTTTGTTGCTTGTCGGTGCGTGCCTTTGCGTGCGTGCGTTGCGTTGCGTGCGTAGTGACGGTTGCTGTGTGAGAGAGGATGAAGAGGACGAGAGGCGAGAGATAAGAGAGGAGAGAGGAGACGAGAGATGAAAGGAGAGAGAGAGAGAGGAGAGACGGGTAGGACCAACGAGAAAGAAGAGAGACCGCACGAGAGAGAGAGAGACCAGAGAAAGAAAGCAGAGAAGAGGAAAGAGGGAGAGTGGACACGTGGCTGCTTAAAATCGGTCTCCTAGTTTTGCAGAAGCGTTTATCCAGTTCTTGTACCGCGTGGGTGTCATACGACTATTTTGATTTCTATCCATGAATCTCGCGGAACTCAGTGACTGTAGAATGTAATTAATCGACGGACCGCCTTACTAATAGAAGTAAGGTTCGTTCAATTCGCGTTCTACTCTTCTTAACGCAGGTTATAGGACCATCATGTCTCAACAGGTCATCCCTGTTCAGTCTCAGATAGTAGTAGGCCAATCAGGGATTCAATGCTATTGCCGAAGCATGGCGAGTGCGTATAATATGATAGACATTACAGTCAGGGGGATTCGCCCGGCATGTCGGGGCGGGGGGGACGCCGCCCGAGGAGGGGGGTGCAAGCCTTATACATGACCCCTTACGTACGCGATGGGGGTTAGAATTAGGTTAGGGGTTATGGTTAGGTTAATAGTAATAGTGACGATGTATGGTGGTGAAACACTGAAGGCGCAGGCGCACTGGCCTTAAGTTGGCAGCTTGTTTAGAGCCGAACGGAACTGTAGCTGGTAAAAATGTCATGACAACATTTACTTAGATTAGCTCGGTCTTACGTGTAGCTGATAATACTATAGAGAACACGGACCGGACCATCTATCAGAAAGCACGGAGTACACATCTATAGAGAAGCACGGAGGACACATCTATAGAGAAGCACGGAGGACACATCTATAGAGAAGCACGGAGGACACATCTATAGAGAAGCATGGAGGACACATCTATAGAGAAGCACGGAGGACACATTTATAGAGAAGCACAGAGGACACATGTGCTAAACAGATGTGTGATTTGTGGTTTTGCACGTCATCCGAACTTCCTGACCGGAGAATGTGAAATCTGACTGATCGAAAGCACTTTTTTGGCAAGTGTCAGATTTGACTGGCCACACACCGCTCATTACTGACAACAATAACAGCAAAATAATCAGTGGGACAGGTACAATTAAACTCAGCACAGTTCACGCACGTACGCACGCACACGCGCACACGCACACGCACACGCACACACTCACACACACACACACACACACACACACACACACACACACACACACACACACACACGCGCGCGCGTACGCACACACACACGCACACACACACAGCACAGCACAGGACAGTTCAGCATCAGTTCAAAGATTAAAAAAGAGATTTCGCATCCCCTCTACCCGTCATGGTATCTGCAACATCCTTAGTGCAGCATTTCTCTTACAGTGGGACGAGCGTTCCTGAGTACTGCTGCCGCGTACCAATAGAAGCGGCTTCTCCCCCGAAGCAAAGAAAGAAACCGAAGAAGCATTCCGACCGACTCCCCGTCGCCATGGAGACGACGACGACGACGACGACGATGACGACGGTGGCGGCGACGTTTGCCTACTATGCGTGCGTTCTCGTGGGTCTGCGCGCGTGCCGCGGCATCGCCCGATGCACGCTCGCCGCGTCGCGCCTCCGCCTCGCGCTCGAGATCATCGCGACCCTGCAAACCTGCTTGTTCACGTTCGAGAACGGCGTCGTCGCGGCAACGCTCGGCCGGCGCGCCTACATCGCCGCGCTCTTCCTCGGGAGCCTCGCCAACCAGCTGGAGGTTTGGCACGGGCCGCGGCAACCCGTGCGGCGTCCTCGCCGACTTCCTCGCCGGGGACGAGGATGCCGTGACGACTGCGACGCTGCTCGGAGCTCAGCTGTGCGTGGCGCGCGCGGCGTTCCCCGTGGCGCAGGCGATGCGCGCGGCGCTGCCGTGCGCGGCGCACAACGCTCGCGCGCGCGCGTGGTCGTGCGTCGCCGACCTGCGCGTGTCGGCGGTGCGCGGAGCCTGGTACGAGTTCCTCGCGACGTTGCTTCACGGGTTGTTCTGCGTCGTCGTGAAGGATAGGTGGCGCCGCGTCGGTTACCCGCTCGCTGCCGTCGCCAGCACTGTGACGACGCTCGCAGGTTTGTGTCCAACCGATTTCTTGTTAGGTTAAACGATTCATAAGAAATGGAAATAACGTGCGATAATCACGTTAGTTATTGCATTAGTTATTGATAGTAATGGCTGTCGCTGGTAGGTGGGTGCGCGCGCTGTGTGTCTAACTGACTTCTTGTTGGGTCGCGCAGTTCAGTAGAAATCAAAATAGTGTGCGATAAATCTCAAATACTAACAAATATATCTGACTGGCAGGTGAGGGTGCTGGACCCAGGTCTACTTTAGTCTTACTGTTTTGGTCCCTCATTCATATGTAATTATCCTATCCCTAACAATAACACTAACTCTGCTATGTTTGAATTTCTTCCTCGTAAGTCTCCTCTATCGCGCATTGATTACCACGTTTCCGATTCTCCCTCACAGGTCTCCTCTATCGCGCGTTGACTACCATGTTTCCGATTCTCCCTCACAGGTCCCCTCTATCCTGCTCTGACTACCACAGTTTCGATTCTCCCTCACAGGTCTCTTCTATCCTGCTCTGACTACCACAGTTCCGATTCTCCCTCGCAGGTCTCCAGCTGACGGGCATGTACTACAACCCTATCCTCGCCACGGCGGCTCAGTTCGGCTGTGAGGGCGCCACCCGCTGGGATCACTTCATCGTCTACTGGATCGGACCCATCTTGGCTTCTCTCCTGCTCAGCTTCTACGCGAGGCTCCGGATAAAGAGGAATGTTCCCAGATGCGCGGCGGTGCAGCAGCCCGCAGGAGAGCCGGAGATCAGAGACAAACGCGGATAGGGAGCGGGTGAAGTAATTCCTGATGTGCGTTCTTCCATAGCGGACAGCGTTTAATATCTGGCCGCAGTGACGCCAAATAGGACCAATGGCCAAGTAACGGTAAATAGGACCAATGGCTAAGTAACGGTAAATAGGACCAATGGCTCAATAATAATAAATACTATAGGTTCTTATCCTGTGCATGTGTATGCACACATATATCAGCAGGAAATATAAACAAAGGAGTGTGCGTGGCCTAATTATTGGAAGTCCAATGTTCGTTAGCGCTTATAAGACTACGATTTATTGCGTATAACTTAAACAAGAGCTGCCTAGCATCATAAGAAATCGGTTTTCCTCTTTACACATTCACAATTCGCTGAGATAGACTGAAACATGTGGCATAGTTTGCGAAAATTTCCTACAGCAAAATCTTAGTTCCACCCTTTGCATTTCTCACAAATTGCTCTGCGTAGGTGCAGTGCTAGTGGGTATGTATAGGATATCTATGTGCACAGCCACTTGTTGAAAATGCAGCAAGTAGACCTACGATTTGATGGTGGAAATTTTCAAAACCTGTTCAGTATTCTTTAGTCTGTATCTGTTGATTGTTATTGTGTATGATAGGACCACTTGTACACTATGCTAGATAAATGTTTAAGGTAGCTTGAAGTCTGCTTTGTTGAGTTGAATGTAATAAGTCGTAGGGCGAAGAAACCTAGTGTAAAAACCTAGTGAACATTGGATTTCCAATAATTAGGCCTTGCACAATCCTTTTCTTTCATTTCCTCCTAACATAATAATATATATCCTGACTCTATGTATATAGATAATTATACATATATATATATATATGCGCCTATTTTTTGCCTAAAAATATGTAATGGCCCAGTCACACATACACAACGCACGGCCCGCGCACTGAAAAATTAGCAGACGCATGAATGTACACGCCAGAAGGACGCCAGACACGCGCAGAGCGCTCTGGACCAACGCCAGACACACGCGGAGCACACGCTGGGTATTCGTTGTATGTTCGTCGGCTGAGGTGTAGCGAACACCTAGCGCACACCTAGCGCATACCTAGCGTGCTTCTAACGCATGTCCAGCGAACATGCAGCGAATATGGGCATGCTGAACGAGTGCTGAACGAGTCTGTAGCGCGCCCAGCGTTTTTCTAGCGTGTTGCTAGCGTGTACGCAGCGTGTACGCAGCGTGTAGCCATGGGGTATATAAACGGGTTCCGCCCCCACCTCCTCATCACTTCTGCTTCGACCCTCATGGGTGATGACAGAGGTTACTGCTGATCGTGTCTAGAAGAACCACCTCAGAAGATGGAGGATCCCGACAGGCTGCGACTACAATACGAAATTGCGGTTCTCCAACATCAGCAGAACCTCATGGAACTGGCACTTCACCAAGTCCATGTCATCAGGAGAAGGAGAAAGAGAAGAGGTCAACGAAGGTTCTGGGTCCGACCGTGGATCGGTAGGCGACGACAGTTTGGCCTGTATGACCAGCTACTTGTTGAACTTCGTAACGAAGACTAGGCAGCCTTCAAGAACTTCATGCGGATGCCCCCCGAGATGTTCGACGAGCTGCTAACCAGAGTGGGTCCGAGGATCACCAAGCAGAATACAACCTACAGAGAGGCCCTCGACCCTGGCCTGAAGCTTGCCCTCACTCTGCGGCATCTTGCCTCTGGGACCAAGTATCACTCAATGTCCTATGGGTGGAGGGTGCCTCACAACACCATATCCCTGACCTGTTCGTTCGCTGACCTGACCGTTTGCTGGCTGTGCTTTGAATGCGCGGTGCATGCACGGACCATTCGTTCTGTGCGCTAGCAACACGCTGTGCATTCGTAGTCAACTCGCTATCTTCTCCCGAATCCTGACAAAAGTTGGGCGCACAACGACGCACTGATCTTATTTTCCATTTTTTGATTAATTTTCACTGCGTGTGCCGTGCGTCGCGTAGGTGTGACTGGGCCATAAAGATTTACGAGCCGATAAGGAAGATGTTGGGGATTAAAAGGTGATAACATTTATATGGGGACTTGATCCAGAAAAACTCAATCAAAACATTTGTTTATCAAAACAGTACAATCAATGAGCACGTGTCTTTTTGGAAAATGAGTTTACCAATTAATTACGTTATGTGATACTGCAGGGTGAGATATGTCAGTGTGAAATCAATATTTTTATTGTATGTAATTGAAGTTTGTAACTTTATTTCACCTGTAGGTGGCGCTGATCACTGTGTAAGTGGCTGGCTTAATATTCCAGTAGAGTATCTATTTGGGTCAATTTAGTTGGATACCTACATGCTCTGGTCACGCACGCACAAACGCGTGTACCCCACACGTACACACTTCACACGAACGCACATTACACACTCACACCGTACGCACGCACACACGTACAGTTTCATTATGACTAATGTGTGTGGTGAGCAGTGAGCACAACTAGATGCAGTGCTGGCAGAAGAACCAAATACTTTCCACACTCGGCCACGTCAC